GATTCTTGGACTCTGCAAGAGTAGCTTAGCATGGTCCACATGCACAACTCTGCTACTGTCTTTTTATGCATCCTCTCAGTTCATTCACTTTGAAAGACCCTTTTAAGACCACTCTTTAAAGCCTGTCTTTAAGCTTGGCTGGTGCTTGCAAATAGAAGGTGTGAACAGCAGGTGGGGCTACTGTGCTCAAAGCCACTGTTGTTCGTCTGAGACGTCAATATTAAAAGGTAGACTAGCCTTAGCCTCAGCCTCAGCGTAGAGTAGAATTCGTTTGCCTGCCAACTTTTTGTGACCCCCACAGACTTATCTGCAGGGACACTACACTACAATCCACATACTATGCACACATCTTTTAGACACACTGCAAGCAGAATTCGGAACCTGCAACTCTCTGAATCCACGTCCATAACCTTGCCTAAGGGTATCTGCTTTGGTTCATTGGGATAAGTTGTACTGAGTTCATAATTTGAAACTTTGGCCATATGCACCAACGTAAAAATAAAGACTTTAAAATACAAAAAAACCCCGTTAAAAATAAAAAAAATTATTAAATAAAAAACACATCTACTTTAAACTTTGCTTTGTTTCCTATGAGTGGGTGCAATCAGAAGACAAAAATATATATTCTGAATATTGATTAGTAAATAATGGAATTTGAAAAAAGGGGGTTTAAAGTTAAAACTTCATTCTACTCCTTTTCGAGCATAAACGCCGTGTAGATATAGAGCTATTAATGAAAACTTGATGTTTTAAGTTTTTCAGTCTGACTAATAACCAACAAGCGGTTGTATTTTTGTCTTCATTTCAGACAAGCAGTGATTATTTACAGCCCAGGCTGGAAGAAGTCAACTCTTAACTTGGTGACTCGTTAAGCCTCTTTTAGCTACAGCAGCCTGTATCAGCTGTTTCCTGTATGATGATGAGCAGGTTAAACAGGACAAAGATTTCTGGCATGTCTTGATTTAAAAACACTCTTTGGGTCATGTCCGAACATCTCATTAAAATGAAGGTCAGTACCTGTCAGTGCTTGACCATTTGATAACAGTTCCTTCCTTTTGGTTTATTTCTTTGCTTTGGGTTGTTTTCTTGTTGATCACCTTAGCTGCCCACACTTCAGGTCATAAACTACAGCTTTGACACTTTTCTGTTAAATTTCCTCCATAATCCCAGTGTGACCAGCCCCTGAGGTAGCAAAGCAGCCGAAGCCATGATGCCCCTGCCACCATGCTTTACAGTTAGGATTTATGTGTGTTTTGCCTTTTTCTTTCAAATTAAGTTGTTTCAAAAGACATTCAGCAGTCAGTGTTTTGCAGTGTTGAATCAGACTGAAATGTAATTTCGTTTGTAGTGACCTTCCTTTAACACTTTTCCTTTTTCTTATAGTGGACACATACACAGAGACTTTAACGTGAAGAGATTGCTGCGGACGCTTTGAGCTTTTACCTTTGAGTTCTTTAGTACTGAGCATCGTGCTCTACGTGTAATCGTGGACAGCCAATCCTATCAAGAGTAGAAGCATCTAACAGCAGCCTCAAAC